CCACCCCTCTATCGAAGCGGTCTGGCGCATTTGCAGACGTTCTGTCCTGTCGAGTACTGGCCTAAGCCTATGAGTTATTTGCTCTTGTTGTCCGGACCTCGGAGCGGCAGACGCCGGAGTTGGCCACGGCCTTGAAGGTCACGGTGCAGCTCGGCAGCTTCTCCCATACCTCGGCCGCCGAGGGCTTCTTGGGCAAAAGCCTTCGGACGTCGTAATTCGTCCAGTTCTCCTCCGGCTCCGAGGCCTGGGATCCGTGGAAGCCTCCGAAGGAGCCGGGCTGCGTGCGGAGGAAGTCCTCCAAGTACTCCATGCCCGTGATGGCCCAGCCGTTCTTGGTGGCCCCGAGCAGTCGCTTCTTCTCGCGATTCAAGTACACCGGCCGACCGTTCAGCAATTCCTCCGTCTGATGGTACGTTCCGGCACAGTCGCCGTAGTCCGGCTGGCCCTGCTTCGCCACGAACTCGAAGCCTTCCACCCGAGAGACCTCGTAACTCTCCCATGTCCCATCTTCCGGGTCACCCGAGGCCGCTGAGTGAAAGCCCCCAAAGCTCTTCGCATCCTGCGCGAGAAAGGAGTCGAGCTCAGAGAGCGTCCCAATGACCCATTGACCCCCCGCGGTCTTGCCCAAGAATCTTCCCTGCTCTTCATTGATGTAAACTGGCTTGCCGTTCAGGCATCGCTTCATGTCCAGCTTGTAGCCCCCCGCACAGTTTCCATAGTTGGCTTTACCGCTCCTCGTGTTGAAGAGGAGCATGGACGGAAGCCCCAAGTCACAGGCAAGGCCTGCACCATGTGGCCCCCATACATCAGCTTGAGCCCAAAGCCCAAAGACGTGAGCCGCTTTAACGGTAACATGATGCCATGTTACGATCACCCCTTCCTCCGTGGACGCTCCTGAGCGCCTCGCCATGAAGCCGTACGTCAGCCCTGCAGCGAGCCCCTGCTGCAAATGGGTGAGGACCTGAGGAGGCTGGTCCCGGGTCCCTTGAGCTCAAACAGCACGGCATCTGGGCTGCAAACCGCCGGCCCGCCGTCGTGAACCAGGTTGTAAGGGTTGCCACCCTGTCGCATGTAGACCTCGGCACTCTAGACTTGCTGCACGTTCCTCCCATGCCCCAGCGGCACGGTTTCTTGGCCTTGTAGCCAGTGATCAGCGAGCCGGTGCAGCCTGCACCGAGGCGGTACGGTACGGACTGTGGCTGTGCCGGGCGCTCGAGTCGCTTGGAAGGCCTGTGTTGGAGGGCGGCACCCAGGTCAGCTTCACGGAGTTGTCCGTGTGATCGGAGGCGGTGAAGCTGTCCACGGGATCCGGCCTAAGCCACAAGTGCTGCCTGGGCCTTGAAGCTGTCTAGAGTCTAGTTCTCGTTCCGTTCCGGGTTCCCGGCAGCGCGCAGACCTGCGTCCGGTAGACCGGGCTTGCCTCGCTCGCGAGTCGCAAGATCTGGCCGTGTTCACCTCGCGTCTCAGCTGTTCGCCTCTGAGAGGCCAATGGCATTTTCCGCGTAGACCACGAAGCGGATGAACTTGCCCTCGGGCCTGACACCCCGAAAAAGCCAGGACTGTGCACTCTTAGGGGAAGGTGCGGCGGGGGCACAGCCCGTCAATGATGTCTGAGAAGGTGATACTGCTGTAGGTCCTGGAATCACCACCGACTCGTGCTGTGAGCATGTTCAGCCTTGGAACTCAGCCGGTAAAGACGAAGTTGAAGGAGTTGAGGTAACACTTGCCATTCATGGTGATCTGCGTCCTGTTGCTTGTGAAGTCAGTGTAATCACCGTCGTCATAGGACACGATGTATCCTGCCGTGCACGCTTTATCAACTTGCTGAAAACTTGTTTCCGATGCATTTCTACTTCGCCCCACTCGCACCACTCGCGCTCGAGTGTCCTGTCACAGGAGAGCCTCCATTGTTTGTGGGAGCAGTCCAGGACAGCGCTACGGACCTTGGCGACCCGGATGTCCGCCCTGAGCCCTGCGAGCCGGACACTGTAGGCACTGTAGGCGCTAGGTGTGCGCCCAGCTGACTCGGGAGCCGACGTGGCCGTGCGGTTCACGGTGGCATCGCGCACCAGAGCGTTCATCCTCATGAGCGTCGAACTGTCACGGCCCGCTCCGGATGATTCTTCAGAACTTCATGTCTTGTAGGGCAGCCCAAGGGGCTGGGAAGGCTCGGTGCCACCGGCCACCACGGTGATGTCCGACCTCGTAGAAACGGCGGGAAAAGAAGATCCAAAGCAGAGAGCGCACCGCATCGTGTCCAAGGCACTGCAGGGACTCGCCGGCGGAGTTCAGAGCCGTGGCAGCGAAGCGATACAAGAGGCCGCCTTCCGTGACATACGGAGCACAACTTGCAATTCCTGAAGTCAGCCTTTTGCTTTTTTCAAGTCGTCGCCTGAAAGTCCCGTGACGGTGAAGGACAAGACGTCCGGTTGGCCATAGCCTCAAGGTAACATAGAGTCGACGATTCCACCGCCGTGCAAGGCACTCTGGGTTTAGGCAGGGTAGGCCGTGCCCTGTCGTTGGCACTCTGAAGGCGACTCGGAAGCCTCTTCCTTCTCAACGTCTTGGAGCGGAGCCGTTCCACAGCAGGATGTCGATAGGGTCGTTGGCACCATTGTCCCTGCCGCAAGCCGAGGCATGAGGAGCACAAACGGCGTCCGCTGACACTCGAGTAGGAGACACATCTACAGACGATGGGTTCACACGCGTCTTCAGCACAGTGCAGACATACAGACTGACAGACACACTTGCCTAGATCACAAATGTGCTGTCATTTACTGAACTGGCTTGCAGGCAGGCGGAGCATGCTGCCACACAGGCATGAGGCAGGTAGACAGAGCAACAGACAAAGTCTCACCCGCGCACAGAGAAAGAGAGGAAGTATGTCTGAACAGGAAAACGTGATCCAGCCAGTCTACCCTTTGCAAGATATTTCGCTTGTCTCACGCAGCTGCTGCACATGAATGATGAAGATCTGATCTCTGGCTTCTGATGGCTGCTCCAAGAAGCTGGTGTCCAGTGTGTCTAGAAGCATGCTGCCGCCAAATCTCCAAGACAGCATGAAACTGGCCATATAATTGGGTGGTGAGTGTCTGCCCTCGGGGCACTCTTTACAAGTGGCCGAACAGACCTGCACTACTGTTACACCGCACCCTTAAAACCCTACACCGAAACCCGAAATCCGGGCCATACCGGGCCTGTAGAGCTTGTATCCAAGCACGGGAATACCACCCGAGCTGACCGGCGCCGTCCAGGAGACCTGCAGCCTCGACCAAGAGTTCTTCGAAGGGCCTTATGGGTTAGGGTGTAGAGGGAGCAAGCGAGAGAGAGAGAGAGAGAACACACAGAGAAACACAGAGTGACACAGCGAGAGAGTGTGCGAGAGATAAAGAGAAAGCGATATTTTGGGTGCTCCTGTCTCTAACTGAACCTATGTGCCTCTCATATCGAATCTAACTTTCTACCTACCTATAGTCGAACATTGCTGTAATGGCTTGCATATACATTTACATAATATCTATGTGTAAACCCATACCATGCTCTTTGCCATAACGGGCTTGATCTGGTGCTGCCACGTGAGAGCTCGGTGTCCGGCCCAGTGTTCGTGCGCGTGGAGGCCACCACGGTCGGAGCGCCCGGCGGATCCTCGTGGAAAGAACCCAAAGCACACTTTGGCATCGGAGGAAGATCCCCCTGAATTACCGGCCTATCCTCAAAAAATCCCTTAAAACTCGCCCCTACAGTAAAAAGTGACTTCCTGAAGCCCCGACAGACACAAAGGGCTTCACGCGCTTTCAGACAAGCAGAAGGCTTCGAGCCAAGGAGCCGGAGCCGCCGCGGCGTAGAAGCCGGCCTGGAGAAGGCCAAGGGGGCGGCTTCCAGCCGCAGCAGACGGGGAAGTCTTAAAGTACTCCGTTGTCTTAATATTGTGGTATGTTGTGGTCTAGTTGAATATAGTCGAGCAGGAGGAACTCGCATCCTAACGGCTCCCATCCTGGAATATTAGGCGAAACAGCGATTCTACCTGGATTTCGTGCAGGAGTCACGCCCATGATCATAGCAACTCAGCACCGTGGAGAGGGGAAGCATTGCGCCGATCAAAGAGCCGGTCTTCTTCGGTGCACTCGCAAAGGGAGGGCTACACGTGTTTGATGTTCCAGAACAGATTGTGCGGAGCATGGAACCGATCTCAGCCTCTACATAGTTGGGCACAAGGTCCGTCAAGGCGTTCGTGTCCAGGGCTCGGTTTGCAGCCGCCACCTGAAGAGAATGAGAGGCCAAAGGCTCTCTGTTGCACCTTTTCAGCTCACGACTGTTTTTGAGGCTTCGAGCCTGGATGAGGTAGTAGTACCCAAGGGTCAAGCCGGTGACGGTGAAGGTGGTGCTGGTCGGCTCGGCTCCGTTTGTGGCATCAACGTAGGTGGTGCCACCCACCCTGGGCCCAGCCGTGCAACAGTTGGGGCGCGTTGGGCTTTTCTGATCAAGCAACTCAACATCGAAGCCAAAGTGGAGATGCTCTCTGCAAGCTCTTTTTTCTTCTCTGATTATCCAGGGCTTGGCGTCAGGTAAGCCTCGGTGCACGGAACGGGAAGGTCCGATCTACTGGGCACCCAGCATCCAGCTGAGCGAGGTGCTTCGCTTTCGGGGCTCGCTGCCCCCAGGACTGTGGCCGACGGCTTGGTCGCCAACTCCTCGCTCCATCACGGTCCCTCTCGAGCATATCGCATGGCGGCCTCTCTCCGTGCCTCGCCATCGCTGGCATCGCCCTCTCGCTCCGCTGCGGCATAGATGCGCTCTTTGGCGGAGGCAGAGATATCCTCATAATGCACAGAAACACTGGACTCCCGCAAACAGGGCTCGCACACTGCAACTCCTCCTCGACACTGAACACCCTACTTTGTTTTCGAAGCTGGCCCAGCCGGGGCGCCAGGGACATGGTCTTCAGCAGAAGGAGGAGCATCGGCCCAAGGATCGAGGCCAAGGTGACCCAGATCCACAAGGTGGGGCCATCCGCCCGTTCCGGCCAGCCTCAGAGGCTCCCCTCACTGAGACCGACGGTAACAACTCCCTGCTGCGTGGTAGGGCCAGGTCCAGTGCACTCCCGGCAGCTGCTCGGGCAGCTTCCCGACTGCGCGGGGAAGGCGGCGCACCTGAAAAAGAGTCACTCGATCTGCGACGGCCCGGCCACCAGCATCTGCCGCTTGGGTCGAGGCAGGGTTCTGTGTGTGGAGCAGGAGAGGGCATCTGGCACATGCTTCCGCCGCCCGAAGCCACTTGAATTTGTTGAACTCTCGGGCCTGGCCCAGTCCCATTGCAAGGCACCGGAGCGCCCGAAGCCTCGGCTCGGGCTCCGAGCTTGGCACTTTTCTTGTGACCTCTTCTTGCGGGGCCTTGCAGTCGTAGCGGCAGAAGGCACCCGTCCCCGGCTCTCCTTACAGCGAAGCGCGGAGCGAAGCGCGGGTCCGGTCCAAGAGCTCCAGAGCTCAGCTCCTCCAGAGCTCCCCTCCTCCGAGGCGCGGGCGACAGCTGGGGCAGTCCGGACAATAGTTTGCCAGCAGAACGCCCGAGAGCCAACCCGTGGGGAGGGCAGCCAGGAACCTGACCGCGGAAAGGCGCGTCACAGCTGGTTTACGCAGAGTGGAGTGGTCGCTTTCCTTAACTGGGGCTCCGGGCTGTGGAGTGAAGGCGAGGACCATGAAGGCGCCCTGCAGGTGGCTCCCGTCTCGACCGACATGTGGCTCGACTCTCGTCTCTCTCCTACTGCCACTGGCGGGGTTTCGCCTCTTTGCCATCCGGCGAGAGGTTCGCGGAGAAGGTGTTGAAGCGAGGGCTCCAAATCACCTCGACTCGAAAAGGAGGGCAGCATCATTTGGTGCAGACCTGCTGCATGCCGTCCCGGCCTCCCCGATGCTCATCGTTATCAGCCAGAGGCAGGTGGCACGCACCTCTTGGGAAAACGTGCATGGGAGCTATCGATCAGGGATGCGGCTTCCCTCCGTCCGGGGCAGCCACGGAGACCTCGAAGATCATGAAAGCCGGGGACAGAGACATCACGACCTCCGGGCTCCAGCTTCGCGTGCTCGAAAGGGTTCTCTCATGTTCTCTCCACGAGCTTCGATGCCAAGGAGCACTGCCGAAGAGGATGGCAGAAAAGTTCCTGCAGGAGATCTGCGAGTGAAAAAGCTACCTCTCTGAGTACACCCCCGTTCTGGCCACGTTCGAGCGTCCTCCACTTGGCCGTGGCAACGGTAATGAGGGGCGGCAGGAGCGCACACATCCAGTAGTTGATGCTGTTCACAGATCCCCAGGGCACCTGTTTGTGTGCAAGGCTGCTGCAACAACATGCTCTTTTTGAAAGAATGTGCCTCAAGTCTGCCTCCTGCATTGCTGCCGAGCCACGTCTTCGCCCAGCTCTCTGACCAAGTACTTGGGCATCGTCGCGTTCCTTGGGGCACAGGTGCAGAATGTTCCTTATAATTTCCGGACAGTCCGGGTGCACAAGATGCCAAGCCAAGCTTCATGTGATGCCATTGCGCCTTCACGCCTGGCGAGCAAACTAATTAACAGTTGCGACTTCCCCGGCCCACGAATCCAAGAAACATCAATTCGGTCAGCGCGACCCACCAAAGCCGTTGAACACGCTGCGATGAACCACAAACCGCGATCGCTCCTCCGAAAGCGCATAGGTACAAGCAGACTTACACACCATACTGCGCCATGCCCAACCCTACGTTACATGATGCGGAATTTGAATAAGATGGTGCACCTTCCAATCAAAAAATGCCAAGGCGCAGCAGGCTCACGGCCTGCGTCCAGGCCACTCGCAGCGGAGAGGCACCGGCACCTCCGCCTCTCACGTGGTGTCTTCGGATGCGCTTGGCAGGGGGTCAGGGCTCAGGCTCTTGGGCTGTTTAATTCTAACAGCACATCAGAGGGTTTCAGGAAAAGCCAGATTGCTGGGTCCCCCTGCCCACGACGGCGCGAGGGGAGCCTTCTTCATCCTCGTCCTGGTGGCACTCATTGATACAACCGAGACAGAAAGCTTCACACCAGCGCCGCCAGCGACCGCCCTTCCATGTAACATTTGCAAGGCAATCCTAGAGTTCAGCGTCCTGAAACTTCTGATGGCTTCTGCAGCAAGACAGAGGCGGCGCCAGCTCTGCTGGTAGGAGGCAAGCCAAGAAGCAGCTGGCCAGCAAGGCACCCTCGGAGAGCAGGAAGCAAGCCCGCGTCGGCGTGGAAAAGCGGCCAAACAGGGCCAAAAAGCCGGAAGGATCCTCGGTAGGTGCGGGCAGCTGCCCAAAATCACCAGATTAGCTGAAGCCTCCTTCCTTGTCGAGACCTGGGCAAGATCCTGCGATACTAGTGCGCATGTGTCTGTCTGTATGTATGTATGTATGTATGTATGTATGTATGTATGTATGTATGTATGTATGTATGTATGTATGTAATGTAACGTAAACATACTGCTACACACTGTTACTTTTACGTGTATATATATATATATATGTATATATGTATACATATATATATATATATACATACTATATATATATATATATATATATATAATTATATAACGTAATGTAACAAGGAAAGACGCCCTTCAGATTCCGAGGTTCAAGATGCTGCCAGGACCGGAAGGCATCGATGACTAGATCAGCGATACCGCCGCCTGCAGCCCACACCCGTGACGGGGCTTTAGGGTTTAGGGTTTCAGTTTAGTTTAAGGGTTTCTGGGTTAAGGGTTTAGGGATGAAGTGATTTTCGAGGGAAGGGATGAGGCCTGCGTTGTGCATGGCATAGTTGAGGCTGAAGGCCATTGGCCGTTCCTCCTCAGTGGTGAGCCGCTTCAGGGCCACCAAAAAAACCTCAGGGGCACCAGGGTGTTTGAGTCACGAGCTGCCGGAAACCGAGAGACGTTCCCCTGCGACCGTGTTGCCGGGAGCAGCAGGCCCTCCGCCACCGGCGAAAAGACGAGTAGAGCCAACCTGAATGAGCGATCCACGCGATTTCGGGCAATGAGGGTTTCGGGTTTGGGGTGGCTCCGGAAGTTGTTGGGCGGCCGGGCTGGAAGGTGTCCGGGCTTTCCGCCAGCACCAGCATTGCACGCGTCACGAACATGGCCACCTCGGCGTGTCAAATGCAAGACATGGCTTGCGCATCGTGATGTCTGAGAGCAGCGCCGTGGCAAAGACTGCCATTCTCTTCGAGCCGACCGCATCCTTAAGAAGGGCTCCCTTGAAGACAGCTCCCCCCCGTCGGCGCTCCTTTATGCTTTCTCCCTGGGACAGCATTAAACCTCTCACGCGTTTCTCAAGTCGTCACCGTCCAACAGCAGCCAGGAGTCAATTGCGAACATCCCGCCAAGGCCCGTCCACAAGGAGGACCTTCCGAGAACTCGGGAGGGCATTTGGGGCCTGGGTCTTAGGATTTGGCTTGAAGCTTAGTCCAAGTTGTGGCTTTGGTGTCAAGATCTCAGCGGGTAGTGACTCAAGTCCTCTTCAGCTAGGCGGCAGGATGCCCCACCAGCCGTACAAGGTTCCTGCTTCCTTGTCGCTGAAGCCGAACTCGTCGGTGGCATATAGCACCAACCTGAGACCGATCAAGACAAACACGAGCCATCAAGCAGCACCCGCCATCTGTGGCCCGGAAGCAGAACTGCCATAACGTGGTAAGCGAAGGAGGCGAAGAAATTCAGGAAAAAGGTCCTCAAAAGTGACTGCATGAACAGGCCACGCCCACACATGCTTTATCCGACAGTTTTCCCGGTTCTCCAGTCCAAGACTCATCCACACGCCAAGTCGGAAGCGCGGACAGCACCCCATGGTGTCTGAGCCCCAGCGCCATCTGGGGCACTGTAAGCGAAGTGCTCACTGGGACGGGAGGGGACTCTGCAGTGCTCTGCAATGCCAGGTCAGCAAGGGGAGGGGTGAAGTCAAGCTCATGCTTTTCTCAGTCCTTTTGCTACTGCAACAACAGCTGGGACTGAAGTCACGTGAAGCATGAGCCAGTCTGCGGGAAGGTCCCGAAGCAGACAAAAAGCCAGAAGAGAGCAAGAGAGCTTTCCCTCCAGGGACTCCGCCCATCGTTCCTCCTGACGTAATACTTGGTGATCGGAGACCCTCCGTCGTCGGTCGGGGCCGTCCAGGACCTGAACAGACAGCAAGCGGAAGAGGGTCGGGAATGACGCGAAGTACCGAGCAAATTCCGTTCGAATTCGGATGAGGTCGGCACAGCGCCACGGTGCTGTGCGAGCCGCCCGTGCGCACCAGATTCGTGGGTGCCGCCGGAGAGGCCTGGGCTCTGCATGGAATGGGGAGACCCGAACTCCGAAAGCTCAAAGAAGCAGATCCCACGTCGGCTTCACCGGGGGCCCGGCCGCCGCAATCACCGAGATGTCGGAGCTGGCACCGGTGAAGGAAGCCTCGGAAGCTTCGCGAACTTCGTCCAGGAGTGGCCGGCTTTTGAACAGAGACATAGATGTCCCGTACACGACACAGGAAGGAGCATCGGTGAGTGGGTGCATCTGCAGCTTTTCGAATTACTTGCTTGCTTGCGGGGCGTTTGAGGGCGGGGTCGTAAGGCCCCTCCCTTACTCTCTCTCGCTCTCTCTCTCTCTCTCTCTCTCTCTCTCTCTCTCTTCTTCAGCACAGCCAAAGGGGGCGAGCCCCCCCGCGCGCGCACGCGCACTGGTCGTCAAGGTCTGTCTGCAACCCCACTACAAGATGAGGCCGCGGGTATGAGCTCGCAAACCCCCCCTGAAGTCGACTTATTTAGTTAGTGACCCCCGGCCTCATCTCATCGCCACATGTTCTGGCTGCGTGTTCTGTACTCCGTCTCGCAGCTTGTTGCCGCTGAACGGTGGCTGTGCTGTATTCCCCACAAACAACTCGCAAGTCACCCTAGGCCATGGATTCCCCCTAGTTTGCACTGCCTCTGAAACACGCTGCACCTACAAAACTCTACACGCTGAGGCCCGGACCTTTGCTCTACGCAACGGACTTACTGCACTGTACCCCCTGGACATGTCTATACTGTTCCGGAGCCTCCCTGCACTGGGGACCGTACCATCCGAGCAACCCCCTACTGCACTCAAGACAGCCAAACTCCTTTCCTTTCCACAGGGTTGTGGTGC